ACAGTACTTGTAGCACTAGTGGCAGTAGCAGCAGTAGAAGTAGCATTAGCAGGAGTGGTAGAGTGGTAGTAGTCGTAGCCGTCTTCGTCGTCGTCGTCGTCGTAGTAGTAGTAGTAGTGGTAGTGGCAGTGGCAGTAGTAGTGGCAGTGGCAGTGGTAGTGGTAGTTGTAGCGCTAGTACTAGTCGCAGTGACAGTGCCAGTACCAACACCATTACTATTACTAGTGCTGGTAATGGTAGTACTACTACTTGTTGTTGTTGTTGTTGTTGTTGTTGTTGTTGTTGTTGTTGTTGTTGTTGTTAGTGGTAGTGGTAGTGGTAGTGGTAGTGGTAGTGGTAGTAGTAGTAGTAGTAGTAGTAGTAGCAGTACTAGTAGTAGTACTAGTACTAGTAGTAGTCGTACTAGTACTTAGTACTAGTACTAGTACTAGTACTAGTACTGGTACTAGTACTCGTACTAGTAGTAGTAGTAGTAGTAGTAGTAGTAGTAGTAGTAGTAATAGTAGTAGTTGTTGTTGTAGTGGTGGTGGTAGTAGTAGTAGTAGTAGGAGGAGGAGGAGGAAGAGGAGGAGGAGGTTCCATTTTTGACAGAAGCCACCTAGTGCAAAATGGACTTGTGAGGCCAAAAAGCGATACCAACAAAGATACCAAAGTGTAGAGGAGTCCGCACTCAAAAACCATGCACAATAGGTTTGCGCAATATAGCCATTGCTTTTTGTTAAGGCTAAGGCCTCGATCCGATTTGCGAGATGAGACATGTGTGGTATGTACCCCAAGGAGGGGCGTAGCTGACAAGGCACAGGCTAGACCCACGTATACTGCCTGCCCGACAGGCCTCAGACCCTCAAGCCTTTTGTCTTAGTTTAGGGTTTAGGGTGTAGGGTTCCCAGCGACCTCCTCAAGGTCCAGCTTCATGTCCGCATGTGCGACGACACGGCAAAGGCTCAGGGTGAAGCCATCGGCATTCTAGGCGGGGCATGATTTGGTGCCTTTGGGTGGTCCTGTAATGTAAGGGATCCTATACTACTCAAGGTCTATGTCGCAGAATCGAGAGAGCATGAGGGCATGCCAAATTCGCCCGAAAGAAGGAGGGGTTAGGGCTGAGGGGCTTGGAGACGAACTTCCTTCACAAAATGGTGGTACCCAGCCGCAGCGAGTGTCCGAGAAGCGCTGTTTCTTCTCTCGACACCCCATGGCTACGTCACGGTAGAGTCTTCAATGTGGTGGTGATCTTGCAGAACCGGCCTGTTTTAGATGCCTGACTAGTTAATCACCAACACTATTCCCTATGGTGCCCAGAATATTGATTAAATGATTATATATATAGTATAACTGTATAACATATCCGAAAAAAGCATTCTGAATATGAAGACCCATAAATGCCCATAAATTTCAAAGTGCTCGGTCAGGCACGAACCTGGTCTACCTTTGCAACTTCGCTCGGGAGCGCCCTCTTTTCGGCTTCTGCTTCAGCATGTTGGTTTCGGGGTTCAGAAGTTTTGAGGCTGGGGTTTAGGGTTACGGTTTGGGGCTGTGCGGGTGTAGGGTAGGGTTTAAGGGGCTTCCGACGCTTGCCAGGATCGCCGGAGCCGTCGGGAGGGGGAGGGGGGCATGTTTGCAGGGAGTTGTAATACAGGGGCTTACACGATAACCAATACTATTTTGGTGTTCCTTCTTCCAATTACAGTATTATAGTATCACATACCACAAGACCCCTTTCTATTTATTATGAGACCCCTATGTTCAAGCAGGTGAGGCCTAAGCTTGTTCCTGAGATGGGCGGTGCTATTGTGGCTCACCCTGAATGCTGGCGGGAAGGTTCGATCAGAACATGTGTCCAGAGATGCATCCTTGCTGCTGCTGCTGCCCCTGCCTCTGAGCCTGCTGCATCGCTGCGACGTTGCGATATCCGCGATTATGATGGCGGCAGCTGAGTGAAGACAGCGGTCAGAATGAGGAATGATGGCGACAGTGATGATAGCGATGATGATGGCGATGATGATCGTAAAGGTAATGACGATGATGATGATGATGCATTGTTCCTGGTGATGTCGATGAGAGTGCTGCTGCTTTTGCTGATGCTGATGATGATGATGATGATGGCAGGTTTGAATGTCCTGTTGATTGTTGTGGTTGTGCTCGCATGGTGGTGGTGGTGGTGGTGGTGGTGGTGGTGGTGGTGGTGGTGTGATGTGATGATTGGGTAGATGCCTGTGGTGCCTATGGCCTATGGTTGCAATGCTGGGCCAGAGGCTGAGGAAAGCGCTGGATGACGAGAAAGCTTGTGACCATGTTTAACGAGGGTGTTAGCCAATGATGGCTTAAGATCATGACGGTGTGCATGGTCATGATTGGTAAAGTAAAGCAGAACCTGAAGTTTTTCGGCTGGTCGCTTTCGTCGTCCAAATAGTAGTTTTAGCAGCCTTAGTCAACCCTAAACCCCAAAAGTCGAAGTCGCAGAGGAGGTCGGAGGATGGCGGTGCTTAAATCTTAGAAGTTAGAAGGCTCAGGCTGGAGGCTTAAACCCTAAGCCCTAAACCCTAAACCCTAAACCCTAAACCCTAAACCCTAAACCCTAAACCCTAAACCCTAAACCCAAAGTCTTGGGAGGATCCCGTGGTCATCACATCTTTCCTGCTAGATGCCGTTGAGGCTGGAAGAGAGATGTCAGGGTGAAGTACTGTTGATGATTTAAATCCTTTAAGGCCCTAAACTATGGGAATTATGGTATATTCCTTATTTTGGGTAATGCAGGATTTATATCATCAACCGTAGGGATCCTTTCGGGCTACTGGTGGTTGTATACGGGGCTTGCATACTGGACTGTCCACAGATTGAGCTTACTGTTGGGGATGAGATTTTGATGGTGAACTTGAGACTATCATAGTTAACTTTCGGGCGGATGGGGAGGGGGTTGTGTGAGTCACAAGCTAGAGGAACCGGTGATAGTCATCTCAGTCTTTAGGGGGCCTCAGCGTTCATGAACCGTAGATCCTCCACTCAATCATAAACCCCAAAATCCTACGCTTTGCACGGAAAGCCCCAAAACCCCCAAAAGCCGTACGCCTGAGGCACTGAATCCTGAGAGCCTAAGCCCGGTAAGCCGCAAACCCTAAATCCTCAACACTGAACCCTAAACCCTAGAGCCCAACCGCTAATGAACCCATCTGGGGGCTCCAAACCAGGATGGCCGCTTGGAGGTGGACTTTGTTGAGTTCTCCGGCCCTGCTTTTCCCGAGGACTCTCTTCGGATTTAGAGGGCTTTCTGGGATTTTGGGGCTTTCTGGGGGTTTCGGTGTTTGTTTGGGGGAGGGGGCGGAGGGGGGGGAGGATTCATGGTCTCGGGTTGGGCTTTTATGTGTGTGTGTGTGTGTGTGTTTTTGCTCTTCTTTTGCCGGGCTTTGCAGGGTTTCCTGGGGCTTGATGCCAGGTTCTCAGAGCCTTTTGTATTGGGTCTTGTGTGTTATTGGGTCCCGAATACATAAGGGCTTTGGAGTGTTTAATTAGTAGACATCGCGTTCTGCTCCTCAACCTTACTTGAACAGATGCCCAGGCACTCCTCCCATGCGCCCCTTCATGAAACGCATGCAGAGATATTTCGACTTTACCTGCCGGAGTGAGGAGGTCTTCAGGCGGGGCATACGACAAAAACATGCAACCAAGCCCTGAGCTTTCCAGGCATTCAAGACTCGACACTGAGGGGGGGGTGGTTCTGCGAAAGGTCTGATGCCCTCAGCGTCCTACTTGCCACCAACCAATGTCAGAAGCAGCTTTAAGCTGTAAGCTGAAACAGGAGACTTTGGACTACCGGCTGCTGGCGATGAAGATGGCAGCTCCCTCACAGGGCTGATGGTTGTGGTTTGCGGGTCCGCATGCAGGGTGTCTTAAAAGGAACGGTTTGTCACCACATCACTGCCGTCGCCACCACCATCGTACGAACAATTCCAACATAGCCGGACAGGAAATGAGTTGAACCATCGACAAGGCATTGTACAAGCAAGTTGTCGCAGACTTGTGGCCAAGTCAATTAAGATGATCCTGTTCGGGTGCCTGCAGATCTACATCTTTCTAGCTGCAGCACTAATCCTAAATAATATTGTTAACATACCTTGATGTGATGCTAGAGCTTCGTTTAGTTTTGTGCGGCCTGGCCGCAGACAGCACATGCAGCACGGGTGTTCCAAAGGAGTTCACGCAGCTTCGCAGTCAGTCGATTCAGCGTGGATGCCAGGCTGTAAATGTCGGATAAAGGGTGCTAGAGGTGTGTCGCACAAGCGCAAATGAAGCAGAGACTGCAAAGAAGCATTCATGAGTGTAGGATGTAGGCACACATACGGGGCAATACTCCAAGAGTTCAGTGTAATTAGTAGGTAGGTAGGCGGGTAGGAAGGTAGGTAGGTAGGTAG